ATGCAACGCTCGCCAATTAAAAGAGGAAGATCACCACTTCAAAAGTCAAAATCAAATAGTAGAAAGGAATCTGCTTCGAACACTAATTCCAGGTTAATTACTGACTATAATTTATAAGTCGAAAGAACTTCTCCTGAATCATCCTCTGCAAACGCAGGTTTGAACCCTGAAACTACACTTCTAAGTTCACAACTATCAGGTGAGCCATTTGATTTTTTATCTTCTTTGCCAGGAAAAAATTCATCTGATATATCATGTATAACACTATGGAATAAAATTTCTGAATTAATTAATGTTTCTAATACGAGAATATTAAATCAAATGACTATTATCAAAGAAGATTTGGATCAGATTCGTAATAGTATCCAAGAAACTAAAGCCCAGAATCAAAAAATGAATAGCCAAATAATTAATCTTGAACAACAAATTGCTAATTTGAAAATAGAAAATGAAAGTATGCAGTATCGAATGGACAATATGGTTAATGTGCAACATCGCAATAATATAATGTTATATAGATATCCCAGTAAAACTAGTCCTACCAAGCTAGAAGTGTTTAATCTTATTAATGAATCACTAAAATTACATGAAGTTACAGTGGATGACTTAATAGCGATTATTCCAATAACTAAATCACAGTATCCAACAATTAAAGTAATTATTAAAAATACTCAAATAAGAGATTACATATATTAGAGTTTTATAAAAATGAAACAGCAAAACTTATTGAATGTATGGAAAGAAACTCAAATTTCACAGGACCTTATAAAAAGATCTAGATTAAGACGTAAACAATTAATTCCTTTTTTAAGCGAGTTAAGGAAAGCAGGTAAATATCCAAAACTCCGAGGTGATACTATACTGTTGGATAGTTATTCTTTGACGTATAGCTATGTGTTAGAGGGGCTGGTATACTTGGATTCTTTTACCCCGTATTCTATTTCTGAGAACACTCCACAATGACATACGATCAATTTAAACACTTCTATTCAAGAATTACGTTTTGTGGAGACTCAATTATTAAGTCCCTTGCTTGCTGCACATAATAATAAAGAAAGTTTATACGATATTACGTCCAATCAAAAAGACTCCTACTTTGTAATAATTAATTGGAACTCTCAGGGTCTTAAGTGATGTTAAACAGAATAAAATGGATCATGACCTTTTTAAAATTAACGACTCAAGTTCAACTATATATTTTTAATAGCAGAATTGAAAAGGTCTATTCTTCTGCATTTACTTGTGTATTCACTTTAGGAAGTTCTACAATTGATCTGTTTATATGTTTAGAATTTCTAGTCGATTTATGTTCGGAAATTCAAGTATTAAATTGTGACTTATCGAACCATTTTCCTGTTAGTTCTTACTTTGGATTGAAAGATTCGTATCATATTAATTATAGTATGCCGAAGTATCTGATTACTGAAAAGGTTAGATATTCCAATATCAACTTAAGAACTGGTTTATCAATTCGTAAATTAAAAAACGAAAACAGCTCCTGGAATGGATATAATTACCACTAAATTTATTAAATTTCTTCTGCCAGCGAATAGGCAAGTTCTACTTGATTTTTATAACCATTTTTATAAATCATTTATTATATTCTTACTGAATGTCCAATGATTGAAGAGGCGCAATGTAAATCTAAATTATAAGAGATTTTTTGATTTAAATTAAGAAGAAAATTTCAGAACCAATCTAGAAAAATTCCATTATGTAAGATGTATAATATTTATAACTTTTTTGTTCATTTTATGAATTTGAAATATGATATGTAGATTGAATGATTAATAAGTTATGTTTAGCAAATTTTATGTAACAAGATATTTAAAAAAAAATGTTTCAATAAGTTATAATTGTAATTTTGTAATTCTCTAAAGCTAACCCCCTGTAACAAGATTTTTCTTATTACAATAAAGTATTTGTAATAAATAATATTTAGTGAATTGCAATATTTATATTCGTGTTCAGACTATATTGGCAAGTCACTCTTAGACATAAAATATATCATAATTAATGACGATCTGAAAAAAGATGTACTAAAAGAATTATACTATTTAATATCATTAATTTTTATAGTACCATCTACAAGTGTGTATGTTGAGTGCAGTTTTTCACCATGAAATGAACTGATACATTGGAAAGGAACACTCAGTCAGAGGAAAGATTGTCGTCACTAGCGCTGCTTTCAATAGAAAAAGAGCTTTTAAATACTTTGATGGAATTGAATGGAATTGAAAAATTGATGTCGTTGATGGAATCAACAACAAGCAATTTTTTATGATAAAGTAATAATTAATGACTTTATGGAAAAAATTGCCGAATAGAGTTAGTTTATAAAAAAATAATAAAAACAATTTCTTATATCTTTGTTTCATGTCAATGTATCTATTTTAGAATTAAAATAAACAAACTGTTTCTTTTTGTCATTTCCAATATTTGTTTAAAATTTTTAAGGAAACATAACATAACATAACATAAACATATGATAAGGAAACTATGTTTCCTTATCATCAAATGTCACTGCACGCCACTGATACAGATTGATATTGCAAAGAATTAAACCTAAAGTATTTGAAATATCTACTTGAATTAACATTAATTATTTTGTGTTTTATCTTTTTATCAATATTTTATTAATCAAGATTGTTTTACATACTACTAAACTTAATGTTTTTGTAATGGACTAGAGAGTACTTTCTCTCATTATACTCAAGACTAGGAATATATTTTTAATTTCGGTTGACTTGGACTAAAATGTTTATTTCTACACAAACTTAAATATGATATTTTATTATTTTTTATTTAAAACTAAAGATATTAAACGTATGCGATTTTTTTCATAAATATAATGACAATTTGACTTTTGGTGAATTTTTAAAATAACATCACCTGAATAACCTTGACTGACCTATATTGCCCTTGGTCGTTTTACAAAATAAATGTAAACTAGAAGGCATAGTTTTCAGGCCGGAAAAAGTTAATGAGAAGAGAAATATTTTAAGAATACATCTTAACACAACCACATAATATGATATATATTAGCTCTACTACATAATCAAACTTAAAAGTCATACTGTAGTAATAGTAATGATAACCAAGATTAGCTTTAAATGGCTAACATCAACAATTAACCCGAAACAGCTAATAGTATTTAATTAAACAAACATTGCTAATATGCAAACATTACACAGCATTATCATATTGTACAACAGATAAACACAAATAAGCACTAAATCACACAATAAACATATTACAAAATGGTCGTGCCTGCATTAACTAGTCTACCTTTCTTTTCTTCTCATCAATCATTTTGAAGATATTTATGAATACTTAATTTTGAAGATGTAGTGTGTCTACTCTATATGTTTAAAATTAATGACACATCTTTTTTCTACAGATTCAGAATCTGTCTAATCTCAATTAATCTTGCCATCAAAATAATAATTATTACATAAACACATTGCAAAGTTACTTGGTTCCTTGAAAATGTACTTTATTCAAAACATGTTATATATTTTTATTCATATTTACATTTTTAATTTTAAAATATTATCCAGAAGCAAGTGCAATATACACTTGCTTCTTGGATAAAGCTACTAATATAAAAGTTAACGTTTTATTAATGTAATTTTATATATACAGTGGGTGATTGGTTAACGAACATAATCTATTCCAAGACTGTTTGCTATCCAAATTGTTCATTAACTGATTATCAATTTACCTTAGGTTTTTACGGAAATTTGATTAATTCGTTCTGGAGACCCCCAAAAATAAAAAATATATACTTTCTTACTACATTTATTTATATGTAATAATAAAAATACATATATACACAGACTTGCATTTTTATTAGTCATGTTTTTTCCATTTGTGGGGGTTAAAGAATCTGTCTAATGTTGATTGCTTTTCTCTCTTCTTCAGGATTTTTCAAAATTAATTAATAGCATTGTAATTGTAGGATCCTAAGCCTATTAACTCAACCTGGTTTGGATGCCATTCTAAGACCGTTGTTCTGACATCCTCCCACTTCAAAAGATTTTTAATAGCAGATATCGGCATTAATCTTCTTTTTCAGAAGAAAACATATCTTGCTCAGTTTCTTGGTGTTCTTCATTCAAGAGTTCTTGGCGTTCTTCTATTGTCAGATCAGTTTCAGGTTCTATTATGAGCTCTTCAATGTTCTTTATTCCTCAAATGTGATTTTTGTTACTCAAGCTGCTTGAATCTTCTTGATAATACATCTTTCTTAGATAAGATTGAACTTGCAGCCTACTGTAGACGTGTTCAAGCCATACTGCCCAGCAACATCAAACATCTTCTGCCCACCCTCTATCTTTGCTATTATACTTTCACCTTTCGAAAATAAAAACTGATGCAAAACTTAACAAGTCCCCACCCGACATTCTCGCAAATACTATAAAAGAATTGTTTGTCAGAAAAATAAAAGGCTGGAATAAAAGGGAAAGTTTCAAAGTTCAAAGGAATATTATCCAATAAGTATATACCAGGTCGAGCATCAATGTTGACGTCTCCTGCACTCTGAAAAGTTTCGAATAGTTGCCTGAAGACAAGGGAAGACCAATCGGTATTCATTATTTTACATTGCTTCTTCTTGTATTTGTTCTGTGAGGTGTTCGTTGTCCAAACATAAAAATCTTTCGTAAAAGTGTTTGTTATCTGATTTGTTCATTAACCAATCTGTTCGTCAACCAATCAGCCACTGTATATGACTTACTATCAATGTGCATTGCTTACTTATAATTTTATTTTAAATTATTGTATCCTGTGAATAATAATAATTCATGGCCAAATACATACTGAGTAGAAACCTTTATGATTTGCCATCTACTGAATGATAAAACAAAAAGTTTACGTGGGAGTAGATTTGTATGCCAAAAGTTGGCAATATTTGTTACTATTCTGAAACATGTTATAACATTTAAATTTTGAATATTTATTTATGATGGATTTGAGAGATAACATTAAAAATTACTCACCAGCATTACCAAGTCTGTTCCTTTCAATGCATTTTTATCTGATCACTCTCCATTAAATTTTTGAAATTTTGAAGCAGAGGCATTTATTAATAGACAGATTACACAGATTACACTCCTCTGGGTTAAGTGACAAGTAATATGGCGAAAGAATGTTTACAAACACAACTTCAAATCACCTGATTTTTTTCTGTGGAAATTTAATTATAGGTTTAAGTGTGCCATGAGATAAAAAAGATTGAAAAACACTTTTAAACAGAGACAAGCTATTCCATTATTTTACATGTTCAAAATATATACCTTATTACAGTGTAAGAGTATAGATTTCTTTATTTACTGATAAGAAAATAACAATTGATTAAGACAATAATTAAGGAAAAAACAAGTAAAATAAAATTGCAATAATCATATCTATATAAATAATGAATAAAACTCAAATCTTTAAACTCAATCTTAAAAGTCTGCACTAATAGAAGAATCTATAATATAAAGATGACTGTGCAACCAAGTTGAAATGAACAGCATTACTGTAACAAACAAAAGCATAGTGTGAATGAAACAAAATTAGACTAGAACTTTTATGCCATCTAATCACAGCATGCAGAAATTTCAATGTCATTGCACTTGTGATTAGAATATTTTGTTCTCAGAGTGAGTACTCATAAATAGGGGTCATATTGTATCTCCTAAAATTGCAAATACTGTATTAATATTTATTTTCATCTTTAATGCTTACTGATATGAATATCTATTGTTTTCATTACTACAAATGACAGGAAGACCGAAGTCTGGTAATAATGCAAAAATTTGTCATGCATTACTAAACATAAATTGCACTTGCTATAAATTGTTTTTTAAGTATATATTGCAGGTGGAATCAATGACAAGATCTGCTCACCTGTATGTTTATTCTTAACTGTTTGCTGGACATGTATAAAGTTTCATTGTGAGGCATTGTTCCATTTTTTTAATGATTTTTCATATACTAAATAAATATACTGAATACACCTTAAAAAGGTGTGATCAGTGTCTTTATATACTGCGGAAGTTCCAGTTTTAACTATTATTGATTTTTCATACACAATAAGATTTTGAGATATGTTGGAAAAATAAGTGACATGATCATAAACAAAGATCTATAATCAAATTTCCTGTGAAATGGAAAAAATATCAGTGCAAATTCATCAAAAAATTACTAGAAGTGTATGGAAATGAGTGCATGTTAAGGCATGTGTCCAAATGGGCTTGTTATTTAAAGATGAATTGAAAATCAGTTAATGATAATGAGAGGATTGATCACCAAATTCTCAAACTAATTAAAATGTTGAACATGGTCTATTTTGTAAGACTAGTGATTTAGTCACTGTCTGATAAAGTTGGTCTTGTCTGACTAGTCCCTTTTCTTCCAAGCTTGGAATCAAACAGGAGGGATGTTGTCTGATTCTATATGAAAACTTATAGCATACTTACAAAAAGTTTCCAAACTATTCATTGCAGAACAGAAGAAATTGCATTTGTCATTTTTTGGAGAGGGCTAAAGGCAACAGAGGAAGAGGAGGTTATCTCAGATTAGTAGTAGAAATTAGTTTGGTTGAGTAATCAAAATATATGTTTTTATTGTCAATATTTTATTAATATTTTAAAAAAAATACCCTATTTGAATTTGTTTACAAATTAACTGAATCATTCAAAAAAAAAAAGTTTTAAATATATTCAATTTTAAACTGAAGAAGTTTAAATTGTTTGAAATTGCTTTTCATCAATAAAGTTTAACATTTTATTTCTATTATATCATCAAAACTGTAAATTATTACTAACTTCAGAGAAAATTTTATGTTTTAGTATGATTCTAAAAATATAAAACAGAACAGCAGTGGGCAAAGTAGTGGAATGAACACAAAAAATTCAAGTGTCAAAGTCAAAAATCATAAATGCTGAGATCTGTTTCTTCAAGGAAGTACAAGGAATTTATTATAAGTAATCAGACTATCAATGGTAAATTCTTCGATGTCAAACTGGACAAAAGTAATGGTAAGTAAAATCTCTAACAACCTTGAAATTAGTCCAGCAATCATCAAAATTAGCATCTTTCTAACATTTTTTACCTACTCTGAAGGTCTTCTTCAGGAAATTAGAACATAATGGAATGTTTGTTGAATATTTTAATAGGAAAATTTACTTTTAGATGAAATACAATTTAAATCAGCTTCATATGCATACCACATAATGTACAGAGAGGCAGTTCACAAAATATTGTCAAAGCATGCTTACATACTTTGACAATATTTACGTTATGTTCTAATTTCCTGATGAAGAACTTCATAGTAGATTGAAAACATTACAAAGATGATAATTTTGATGACTGCAGGACTAATTTCAAGGTTGGTGACAATTTTACTTGCTATCAATAGAGTTTTACCTTGTTGTGTTTAATGGTTTGGAGGTATGTATCTATCATGTACACCACAAACTGATGAAGAATGGATAGAGTCCTGATTTTGATAATACATTCACTCATTCTTCAGTGATGCTGAGTTTTTGGCCTAAAAACAAATATCAGTACTTCAACAGGATTCTACAGCAAAATGTAGAATCCTGATCCTGCTCCGTGTGATTTTTTCCCTCTTTCCAGAAATGAAGATACTAATGAAAGAGACATCATTTTGAGTCAGTAGAGGCCATCCAAATAGTGATTGTGGCAAACAATTCAGAAAGTCAACAGGAGGTAAAGACTTAACTTTTGAAAGAAAAATAACTTAAGATTTAAAGAGAAAAATGCACTCTTGTTGTTCCATATTAAAATGTAATACAAATTATAACAGTTATTGTTATATGTAAGGAAATAAAGTAATGAAGCAAAATCTATATCAATTAATCATATTGTGATAAAATCCAAGATTGAATCAGGTACTTTAAGATCATATATTGTTTTAAATTAAGTTGTATATTTGTTTATTCACTTGTGCAACAACATATGCCTTATATTTGTAACAGGTGCAACACATGATGATGGAACACTTTATCCTCTGTCTACAATGCTTTTTCAGGAGAGACATTAATGCAACAACTTACATATACAATGCAAAAATGTTCAAAACCATGGCAAAAGAACTAGTGAAAATTTGGAGTCCAAAAAATAAAGCACAAGCAGATACCATCCTTTCCCAAAAAGGAGTGATGTGTAAATATATCATAGAATATGCTTCTTGGTGGGAAGGACATAAGGGAATATAATACAAGAAAAAAGAAAGAAAAAAAAACCAAAAAAAAGAATAGATGTGCAAAATTAAACCAAGACAAGATACAAATAATTCACATCAAAATTGAAGCAGCAGTCAGCAACTGTCCAATAACATACTGCTACAGTAACATGATGAAGGCAGCCATTAATATCAGCACACTTCTTTATTGGAAAAAGACTAACAACTTTATCCAATTTAGACTAAATCCCAAAGAAACAGACATAACAAAACAATTGAAAAGGAAGAAGCAAATTCTCAATTTGTTTAATAATCATTGAATACAAGATCTACAATAATATCAAGTCAACAAAACCTAAGGGTCCCAAATTCGAAGTATATGATATTGTGATCATATCCAACAAGAATGTTCTGAGGCAATGTTGAATAGAATGAATTACACAGACTAGAAGAGCTGGAAAACTTTGGTCATGCATCAGGAAAAATGAAAAAAACAATAAAATTTGACAACTGATTCAATTACTTCATCCCCTAAAATTGAAACTCATGTTTCAAGATGGAGAGAATGTGTGCAAACAGTCTCAGAAAGTCACCACCAGGAAGCAAAGATTGAACTTTTGAAAGAAAATACAATTAAGCTTTGAAGAGAAACATATGCTTTTGTTGTTCCATATTTGAACATAATGCAAATTATAATGATTATCATTAGATGTAAAGAGAAAGAATGAAGTAATAGCAAAGCTATATCAATCAATCATAACAACAGCAGTATTGAGAGGAAACAGTTATCCAAGGATATCTATATTTCCAAGGCTAGCAGGAAAGGTAATATAACTGTTATGTTTGGAGGAGACTTCTGTGAAAATGTTATGGCATAATTTTGTATGCATTTAAGTAATGAAGTATTTATTACAGAATTTTCATTATTTTATTGCCAATTTATATATGTATCTTAGTTACTAAGCACAGAATGCATTAAAAATGAATGTTCTGCCATTATATGATTGTATCTTGAAAAATATTGCAAAGTCAGTTTTTAACTAAAAAATGGTATGTATGTGCAAAGATACAAGGAAAAGGGAAAAGAAATGTATATCATTTTGATACTGAGAAACAATTTATGTTTAATAATGTTCATCATTTTTAAATAGTTCTTTATTTCAAAAAAATTATTAAAAGCAAAAACTTTTGTAATAATTCATTATTTTTATAATAATTTATTAAAATATATTTTTTTACAAAAAAAAGATA